GGCGATCGTGAGCATAGACAATTTCACTTTATAGTGCATTCTACAGTGCATTTAATAAACGGCTGTGGATAATTACTGCTTGGGCTGCCTGATTAAAAATTGTGTGAACAAAGGTGACGGAAAAGTCTATTATTTTGTTTTTGTTAAGTTTGTTAATTTTTCCTCTATAATCACTTTTTTGTTTCGCGATAGGAGTAGTTAATATAAAACCTACGTCTAAATTGTATATTAGGATAGTATTTTTTTTTAATACCAGATTTATAATTATATAGAAACATTTAAATATCAAAATAATAATATTCATCATTATCGGCAAAAACTATAACAAATTAACTAAACATTTATTAAGTTTTTCCCTTTTTTAAAATTACTGTTTCACACTAAACGTTTTATTAATTTCTTTAATTTCATTAATAATAAACCGTAAACAACACTACTAATTTTTTGTTCATCTAATTTTAACCTACTAAATAGATACATGTGCTATAACATCGATAATGGCCAACATCGATGTTTTAAGTAGGATAAACATCGAACATCGATGTTAAGCTATCGATATCAACATCGATATCATCATCGATGTTTCTGTAACATCGATCATCCCTAGTTCGCAGCTCGACGACAGAATAGGTTCTGAACTATTTGGAGTTCATTTAAAATGTTAGGGTTTGCGTGGGCAAAGACGGGGCCCGCGTACGAGCGTTGAACATTTTTTTTTTTTTTTTTTTGCGCCCGAAGCAAATATGGGCAACCCTCCGGAAAGCGGGGGGAGGGAGGTGGTGAATGCTCATAGCATACCACGCAGCCGGCTGCGTGGTTATGTGGCGACTTTTACCCACTAAACACCACCTTTTTAGGAAATGGCTTAACGATCTGACTGGAGATCTCTAAGCCGTATACGAACGCGACCCTCCTTGGCAGAAAGGAGGGCGCAAGTGTTGAACATTACAATCTGCAAGCTTTAATGACTCGCAGTGCGGCCAAACCACAGCGCGTGTTAAAATACCACTATCGCCATCTGCACATTGGAATTGTGGCTTTAATGGTTGCAATTACTAACATTACTACTGCCCTCTACTGACGCAAAGTTCGAGTCCGTAAAAGAAAATTACGAACGCATGACTTCCTAACATCTATCATCTTCATTTTTTAAATTGGGTCATCTCAACAATGCAGTCTTTTACTACGAGATTATTTAAAGTCTACACTTGTAGAGAATGTTTAAGCAAAAATAATGTTTGTCGGGTATTGCAGGCGCGGTGACGATAAAGTTAATTTATTAAATAAAAATATATTATTTTAAGCTAAAATAATATATTTCTTTTCAAAATTTTTAAACCTACAATAAATGTAAAATAATATATCTATGAAGACAGGATCAGACATTTATGCAGTTAGTTGGTGGTACAGTTACCTAAAAACGTCGCTAGATGGCGCAACCAGCATTTCAAAACGCGATATTGTGTGACCAGTTCGTATAACACTACTTGTCTGGAAACCTGTCCAACAGTACCATCAGGTGGGCTGTATAGCTCATATAATACTTTTTGAGGAAGCCACTAGCATTACAATGCTAAAGGCTTAGTTATTAGAGATGAGACATACTTGCAAAATTTAATACCAGGGCTTTTAAGTATGGAAAAATACCAGGGTCGAAAACCAGGTTCTAAAAATACTTAAAAGTATTTGTTGACGCGAGCGACGTGTCCAGCCGCGGTGTCAAAATTTGAAAATACTCGCATAGGAATTCGACCCGTATTGCATGTTATCCTATTATGAATACGGAGCAAAGTCGTGTAAATAAAAAAAATACTTTGAAGTTCAAAGTATTTTTTATTCAAAAAATAATAAATAACGATTGTGTTTCTTATTTCTATTAAGATATGGATTATTTTCCTATGCAAGTATTTTCATGTGTTGTGTTCAAGTTCTTCGAGCATCTGATTTACAACACATACTTTCATACTTGCAAGTATTTTTTGCCCGTACCAGGGCGCCGTACTTTGAAGCGAAAACCTGGTAGCGTAAATACGTCTCATCCTTATGCCCGACTATCCTGTGGATTACATTCGAATCTCGCCGCAAACATATTTAATTTAGATAAATGGAAACTATGACTCGGTTATTTTTTTATTTATTCTATATTTCCTTGAAAAGTAATGAAACTCCCTCATATATAATATGTCGTGCGTATGATTAAATTATTTTATTAAAAACTGTCAAAATATCATATCTATGTATATTTTACAGTGCCATCTATATCTATGGCTACGAATTAAGAAGCTGCTGTAGCGTCAATCTTAATTATGTACAACATTCAACAGTACAAGTAAACTAAAAGATGTGCCATAGATGTCGCGCTACTTCATTTGTCATTTCTGAAGACGCTATTGTTGTAATTGTAAACCTTATTAATAATGTTTTAAATCGTATAGTTGATAATTCACTTACGTTGATTCAAAGCTTTAAATCAAATTGAAAACAATAATAATAATTCGAACTCGCATTTCACTAAGTCGGACTAATTTGAATTTAACTGCAGATGAAGGTCACGTACTTTTGTTGTTGTTTGTGTTATTTATTCAAAAGTGTTCGCTAATTGTTCTGTTTTTTTGAATGTATGCCGTGACAGTATAGGACTTGAATGCTGTATACGTACTATGTAAATATTAAAAATAATTAGTGTAAATAAATGTAACAGTTTATAATTACCTTTTTTTGGTTTGAGATATCTTTATTTCTCATAACAATTTACAACAATTCACTTACATGTGGAAGTTTAAATACATCATACAAACAAATAATTACCTTAACCTAGGCGTACACTAATGTATCGAATCATTTCACGTGCAATTTTATTTCTAAGAATAAATAAAATACAATATACACCCTGTATACTTTTAAAAAAAACTTACATACACAGAGTAAGGTGCGTTTACACAGACCGAGTGCAACTAGAGGCGACGTGTGAAATAGAGAATCAAGGTACCAGGTTAGATGTTAAATTTTCTCTCTTTTTGGCAAAATAAAATTTATCAATATTTAAGTGCTTTCTAAATTATATATATATATATATATATATATATATATATATATATATATATATATATATATATATATATATATATATATAAATTACGTATCATGTTGTTTGTCCGCGAAGGACACCTAAACTACTTAACCGATTTTAATCAAATTTGCACAACGTGTGCAGTTTGGTCGAACTTGAGAGATAGGATAGCTTCATTACAATTTATATTCGCAATATTATTTTATTGCAAATAATATTTGTCTATTATTTGATAATCACAATTACAAACGTTGTACTGCGCATGCGTCGACATTACGTTTGAAGTGGTTCCTTTAAAAATCAAAAAAGTCTCAATTAAGCAATAAGCATTTTTTTAAATAAGTAATGAAATACGTTAGCAATGACATGTTTTGTGAAAATTACAGGAATTATATTTTGACTACTGAAGTATAAATTAAATTCATATTATAGTGAAGATAATACAGTGAAATTATTCCTGTTTTTTAATTATTAGTACTTCATTGTTCAAAACACTTTGATTAAAATACATTATACTTGTAAGTATTATCACATAGTTACATTATTATATTTACTGTGCATAAAAAAATCACACTGTATGATATATGTATTATGATGGTCATGAGGTACTAAGGCTCCAGGATCTAAATGAATCTGGTTATCTATCTATTTATTATCCGCTTGCTTCTCATGTTATTGATTTATTAATATTATTTTTACTTTTTTTATTCAAACTTTATTAAAAACTATTTTGCAATCCTTATTTCAATGTGCTATGATAGCATGATTTTCAGTTTTTTTTTTAATTTTAAAAGTTTAAATCATTTTCAGTGAAATGCCGAAAAAAATCTAAAATCAAGAACGCGAGGAGCAGAGAGGCGCGACGGAAACGTGTTGAAAGCAATGATTTCTAGAGGAAGGATAGGCCCATCTAAATATTTTACTCATAACTTTTTCATACAAGAAAAAGTAACGCATCTGTCATAATACAAACGTCATATCAAAACATGACGTAACCAGAGTCGGATTTCGTAGTATAATTATCCTAATTGTACCATTATTTCACAGTTTGTAGTACATAGTATCGTAATAATACTAAGCGAAAATACCGTAATTTTACCTAAAGGTCGACTTGTATTATTATTGGGTTCTTTTAATACTAACCTTTAATACTAATTAAATAAAATTAGAATTAGCTCCATTTCGATCGATGCATTTATGTTGCATCCTTGATACAACTATAATGAGGGGCTACCATGATAAAAACTCTATCCTCCAGAAGCAATCGGTTTGAAAACAGAATTACAAAATATTTTATGAATCAGATTTTCAGATTCAATTAAGCAGATATGGTTTCTTTTGTACTCTTTTCGTTTTACTCTTATTGAATATAGAATATGTTAGTATTCAAAATTTAACTTACATTAAGCTCTTTAGACAAAAATTAAACAGAAATAAAAAATCGTCAAAAACCAAAACGTATAGATAAACTAGACACGTGACGCCAAAATCCCAGCACATGGGAAAAAAGAAACATGAAACGTCAAACGTGATATAATTTATTTAAAATAGTATAATTTTATTTTCCATGTACAATATTTTTGAGGGTCTGACTCCAACCCTGGCCTAATCTTGGTAACGTAACTAAACTAACTGTAAAATAAAACTCTAAAAATGCGTTTATATAATAATTTAATTGTAACAAAATTAATATAAGTTTATTTACCGATGATACGGTATCCAATGTTTTTTTTTTAAATTTTTGTATCGTAATTTTTGCATTCTTTTACCACGTAACTAGACATATTTATGACAGACAAATCTGTCCTGCGCGCGCACCACTGTCGACCGATTCGCGTTGGCCCTAAACTGTAATTTTAGGGCCAGCGCACTGGTCCGTTTTAGTTGTTCGGTCGGCCCGGTCCTTACGCTGGTAATATAATATAAGTCAATGGTTGAAAGTGCTGATCAGTCGGCAGAACAAATCGAAACAAGAAATGCAGATCAAAGAATCAGGACAGCAGAGAGTCGTGCACAAGAACAGCGTGACGAACGTCTGCGACAGACTATTACGAGAACAAGAGCAGCACGAGAGCAAGACATAGCTACAGCACGAGTACAAGAACCACAGAGGCAGCGGGCCAGCCGCGCATCACCACGAGCACCATTTGTTCGTCTTGCTTATGTATGTTGTAATAAAGATATTAATATTACTTTGCAACCATCCGCTAAATTAAATAAAATGATGTGTCTTCCCTAGTTTGAAGAGCACCTCCCGCCCTCCCTCAATTGCGTGCACTAATCCCGTCACCACCAATCCCAGCAACACTACTCCCAACACCACTATTCTAGGAAAGACACACCATCGACGATAATACGACACGTGTTTCGCCTCTTCAGGTGATGTTGACTCTACGGCGGCTGACCGCTAACTAGCGTTAGGAGTTTGGAATTAGTGGTGACGGGATTAGTGCACGCAATTGAGGGAGGGCGGGAGGTGCTCTTCAAACCAGGGAAGACACATCATTTTATTTAATTGAGCGGATGGTTGCAAAATAACTATTAATATCTTTATAATAATGGATTTCCGCAAAGTAAAGCCTGATTCTATCAATTATGTATGTTGCTTAATATGCACCAGATATTTACTACTCTGCGCATTCAAAAATCGCCATCGGTACAATGGATAAACTTACTTACTTACTTACTTATCTTCACGCACAATCCCTAACGGGGTAGCCAGAGAGAACAGATCGCCAAGTGTCACGATCCTTACATACCTCTTTCGCTTCTTTCAGGTTCATTAACTTCTTCATACATGCACGTCTAGGTATCCGAGTACTCTTGACCCTCCCCTCTTCGAGCAATTTGCTCACATGGTCTTCGAAAGTTAGTCTCGGTCTACCTCGACACCTTTTAATATTTACTTTCGCTTTATATATTTTCTTCACCATTCGGTCTTCACTCATTCGTTCAACGTGCCCAAACCATTGGAGTACGCCCCTATCAATTTTTGTGATAAGGTCATCTTTCAATCCTGCCATATTGCGAATCTCTTCGTTTCGCTTTCGGTCGGCTAAGGTAACGCCACACATTTTACGAAGAGATCGCATCTCCACTGCATTTAACTTGCTTTTATGCTTCTTCTGGCATACCCAGGTTTCGCTGCCATATAACAAAGTCGGTACCAACACTGCATTATGTATTGCAAGGCGTGCACTCTTCACCACGCCTTGCCTTTTGACTAATGCATTCAGGGCACCATTGACTTTGTTTCCGGCAGCGACACGCCTATCCACATCTAAATCACATCTTCCATCCCGGCTGAAAGCACTCCCCAAGTATACAATTTCATTTACCTGTTCTAGACATTCCTGATTTACCCATATTTCACATTTCGTTCTCTCTTCGTCCTTTTCAAATACCAGAACCTTAGTTTTATTAGCATTCAAACGGAGACCTTTAATTTCACATTCCTCTTTCATACACGTGACTAATGCCTGCAGTTCTGATGGTGCAATAAGCACTGCATCATCAGCATACAGCAGACAATTAACTTTTATGTCACCCAATTTCACACCCAAACAGCTATTTTTCAGCTTCTGTAAACAGCTGTCGAGATACGAGATACAGTATGAACAGCCAGGAAGACATGACACAACCCTGTTTTACGCCCGCTTGGACGCTAAACATGGGTGACAGGTCATGCCCTACCCGCACACAGGCTTTACAGTCATAGTAAAGTGACTGCACAGCCCTTAACAATCGACCATCCACACCATATCCCGGCAACAGTTCCCACATTTTCTTCCTTATAACCTTATCAAATGCTTTCTCCAGATCCACAAAAGCACAGAAAATCTTCTGGTTAACACTCAGAAGCTTCTCCGTGATCATGCGGAGAGAAAACATTTGATCCGTGCATCCTCTTCCAGGTCTAAATCCGCATTGTGCCTCCCATAAGAATCTTTCCGATTTCTCTTGCATCCTACGTGTCAAAACCTTCGAGTAAACTTTACTTGCTAAACTGGTCAAGCTAATCGCCCGATAGCACCCGCAGTCAAAATGTGAACCTTTACCTTTATATAAAGGCACAATGACCGCGGATCGCCAATCATCCGGGACATCTCCCGTCCGCCAGCACAAATTGCACAGCAGATGGAAGCTGTCCCAGACGCGAGGCCCACCGTACTTGACCATTTCAGCAGTAACTCTGTCTAGTCCCGCAGCCTTACCACATTTCAAACTTCGAATCGCACGTTCAATCTCTTTCATGCTGATGACCTCAGTGTCATCGAGGTCCGTGTCTGGCGTGCCAGTCACGGCGTCACCCCCGGATCCTTCACTAAGATCATGACACGCATACATTTCTCTATAAAATTCACTCCATCGCTGCATGACGTCCGATTTTTCTAAGAGGACGTCATTGGTTCTCGAAAGCACTTTGTTCATTCTTAAGGCTGTCGCACCACTCCGGGACCTTCCAACCTCTTTCCAGAAGAGTTTGGAGTTTCCCTAAAGTTGTGCGACAACCTCTCGTCCGCTTCTATTCTACACCTTTCACGTACTTCCTCAATCAATGTTTTCGCATGAACTTTCTGCAGCTTATATCTTTCTTTCATCTTCTCTCTCATATGCTCATCGTTACTAGAGGCCAAGTAGTCTAACCATGCTTTTTTCTTCTTTTTTACAGCTTCTCTCACTTCATCATTCCACCATGCATCTCTTCTTTTACTACTACCTCTTTTTGTCGTACCACATACTTCTTCCGCTGCACTTACCATTCCATCCCTAAGGTTCTGCCATGTTCTCTCCACACATTCTTTCCTGCCATCGATGGTGTCAAGCTTTTCGGCTACCCTCGTGTGATATTTGTCCCTAGTATCCGCTTCCTGAAGCTTCCAGCTTCGGATGCGACAGACCGACTGTGGTTCTGTTACTGCCGTCCGGTAGCGCCAACCCGCGAACAAACCCCTAAATCTAGTAATTACTAGATAATGATCCGTTCCCAGGTCAGCACCCCTGAACACTCGTGTATCCATCACCTGTTTTCGCAGTCGGTCATCCACCAGGAACAAATCAATCATACTTCTCTCATTCTTTCTTTCTCTAGTGTACATATGGATTTTCCTGTGATTAAACATAGTGTTTGTCACAAGAAGACCCTTTTCCTTGCATACAGCCAGTATAAGCTTGCCAGCATCATTAACCCTTTTATCGCCAAACTTTCCAAGCACCGATTCGTATCCTGGTCGAGCGATACCTACCCATCCATTCAAATCACCACATACAACAGTTCTTTCGTTTCCCTTAACCAAATCTAGAACTTCTCTTACATTCTCCCAAAACTCCTCCAGCTCAGCCCTGGACGACGAAGCTACCGGCGCATAAACAGCCAAAAGGAATAACTTCGTCAGTCCCATTTTCAAGCGAACCCAGAGAACTCTTGAGTTCACAACCTTGTATTCAGTCATAAGATCGACCAACCGGGACGACAACAGCACTCCCACTCCCTGGCAGGCGTTCTCGCTTTCCGGGACTCCGGACCATATAGCTAACGTCCCGCCAGGGAGCTCTTCAGTACCACTGCCTTTCCGTTTGGTCTCCGACATACACACGACATCTAATTCTCTTTCTTTCATTATTTCGATCAACTCATTCGTCTTATCTCTCATGGCCCCTCTAACATTCCACGTGCCAACTCTGCACTCCGTCCTCGACCTTCCGCCGTGTCGGGCTGTGCGTGACGGGTGGCGGTCCCCATCGCCGCTTTGCGCGTTGCATTCCACACCAACGGGGACGAGCTGGTGTGCGTCGCCTTGGGGGGACGCCCTAACCCTCGTTTGCATGGGTGCGCAGTTGTGTAGAATTGCAGCCCTGAAAAGGGCTGGCAGGGGTCGCGACGAGAACGCTTCTACAATGACCCACAAAGGATAAAGCATGTCAATATTGTCAAGCATTGAAATTTCAGAATGAAACACCCGACTTGTGCCGCACATCAGGAAAAGTTATGCTGTCACCTCTACCCACTCCGCCAGAATCTTTAATATACCTTCTTGTTGGCGATTCAGATGATTCAAAATTATTTTTGCGTAAGATACGCAAAGAATCATGTCCACTTTCCATACATTAATTTACCTGTCACTTGATTCCTTTAACAGGTCGCGTCTACCTACAACTAGTGTTGTATAAAACAATTATTGTTTATAATAACATAATAACGTATCATCTTTTCATTTAGAGGCCAGGGAAAAATGCTATTAAGTAAATAAGTTTTTGAGGTTATAAGAGCTATAAGATTAGGTCTGTACACTTATTTTTCTTTCGACGCCATAACTATGGTTTTATAACCATTAAAAATCGTACCTATATAATCATAATTATATAACCATATATAATCAATTAATAAGTTACAAAAAAAGCAATTGGTTATTTTGAACATTCATAATATACCCCACGACGAATGAACAAGTTTTTCGTAGTTTGAAACAGACCTGTAAAACACGTTTTTTATATATTTTGGCATAGCATCTGGGCCTTTGAGCCATTGTAAAACACGTTCCATCTCTAAAAGTCTATTGAGAATGATAAACATAGTAATACAACTTTTTTTCTTGGCTTTATTTGAAAATTTAATTATGCAATACGAAATAAGCAAAAATATGTAATTTTGTAAGATATTTTGAATCACTAGACACGTTAGAAAAGTTTCAGGTCAAGACTGGACATGATTCTTTAATTCTTGCTTCCATATGACGTCATTTGTGGCAACTAAAATTTGCGATCTTGCATCCGATGGACGTAATTTTGAAACGACATTCAAAATACAATGCCAGGTGTACCATTAATCAGGTCATTGATGCCAATGCCTAATGATAATAATAATAAATCATTTATTTCGGACAACTTGTAATTTGTGTTAGTAATTTAATTGAATTTAAGCAACTACGGAGTATAATTTAATTGAACAAGCAGAAGAAAGAGCAATTGTGATATTGCTGGAAATTTTTTTAGAAGATCAGAATGAACTAATTCCATCGGTTAAAAGAGTTTCGCCACGATTGCAAAATGACAACTATCAAGTCGTCATAAAAGCCTAGGAAGTACCATCAGGTGAACATGCTGGCAGATTCGACGCTTCAACTGCTGATGAGGTCTTTGTTATTATGGTTGGTGATCCAATTG